ACCCCCCCCCCCCTCCCCAACACACACACAATTTATTTTGAGTTAAATTAAATTGCCTCTTAAAAGTTAACGTGACAAAATTTGTATCAACAACTTTCTATAAGCGCGTGAAGGAGAAAAAAAACTCAAAAAAACTAATTTAAACAATACACATGTTGTCTTTTTATGGATGACATACTTAATTACTTATTTTATTAATTTTTAAATATATATTTTTTCAATTTACTTCTCTCTTTCTTGTTCTTTTTCACCTTATTCTGCCTTTCTTTTTCTTTCTTACTTTCTCATTGAGTTCTATGTGAACTACTCCCAAATGTAACTTTTTCCACATTTTTTTCTTCTTTTGTTTTTTGGTTTTAGTCTTTTCTTGTTTATATGTTTTTCTTTGACAAAAAGATGGGTGTTTAATTCACCCACATCATTTTCGTTATCAAAGAAGATTATCAGTTCAAAAAAGGCGAAATGGTCTAGTGGACCCTCATACTTGTATGTGTTTGTATTGTGAACCCTTCTACTTGTTCCCTTGTCATCTGAACCCCTGAACTCATCAAAACACAATATTTTAAACACGTTTTTTACTACTCAACTGTGTGTGTATCACAAACGCCTGACACGTAATTTTAAAAAATAATTATAAAATGACATGTATGATTATAAAATGACACGTGTATATATGATCACTCCATGTCATTTTTCCTTTTATTTATAATTTTGATTAATATACCTATACTTTCTCTTTCCAATTTTATTTCTCTTTGCCATAGCCATCTGCATCTCCATCCCCACAATCTCATTTCAACTTTTTCTTATCTTCCTTACCCTTTTCCTTTTCCAACCTCTTCTACTCTTTCCATTGAAGTAAAAATGTTGGCACGATTTCTGATTGTTCACAATCTCGTCGGAGTTCGGAGTTGATTTTGGGTTCTGTTGGATTGAGGTTTTGGTGGTGACCGGTGGCGCTAAGGAAAAGTGGGAGTCTATTGGGTGATCTGATTGTTTCTTGTTATTCACAACTGGCGGCTTTGTGAAATTCGAGACTTATTGGCGGAGTTAGTTTGGGGTTTTTGTCGTTGTTGTTGGTTCTCATTTATAGTTGTTGGTTGAAGCTTGTTGGAGATGGTGAGAACGAAGGCAGTTTGGTCGGAGAAGGTGAGGAGAACGAGAAGAAGGCAATAAGTTTGGGTTTGGTTTGGAACTGAAACAAGGAGTCAATGTCAAATATATTTGAGTTTTTTTGTTTGATTTTCAACTTATCTAGGTAGGTTTTTCCAATTTATTTTCGAATTTATTTGTTGTTTAGTTTGGATTTGATCTCTATTTGTGTCTTTGTTTGGTTTTGGGGTTTTAGTCGATTACATTGATTTTGTTGAAATTCTTTGGGGATTTTGCATTTTTGTGCCTAATGTTAGTGTAAGATATTTTGGTAGTAGTGTTATGCCTTCCATGGCATTTTTCATAAAAAAGAGAGTTGTATAATAACAAGAAACGATAGAGAAGAAATTTGGGGGGAAAAGATCAAAACAGAGGCCAAGAAAACCTCAAATTTTGTCCAACAATGGTGTTAGATGCAAATAGGAAGATGATGACTTTACAAAGCCCTAATGTGACTGTTAGACCCTTTTCCAAGGGTCTCACGCTCCTAATAGGTGTGTGTCACACACTCTTTGGTATTAGATGCCACATAGGATGCCAAGTCAGAAATAGTGTTTAAAATATTCACTACAACAAATTATGGAATTCGCAACAACTTTTAGCAACAACTATATTATTGTTGGCTTATATTGATAAATCGCAACAACTTGATTTAATTGTTGGTATATCTTTTAATATTTAACCACAATATTTTTGTTGTTGCCAAATATGTTAGTATTGTTCCGATATTATATTGTTAATAATTCTTAATATAATAAGTTTCAAATATAAAAAAATTGCAACAATATTATTGCAACAATGATGATATTGTTGCCAACTTTAATAATGGCAACAATTTAATTAATTTGTTGCTATCTTAAAAAATATTTGGCAACAATATTTCTTTTTATTGTTGCTAATATATTTAATTTGAAAATAACTTATACATCGTGGCAAAAAGCAGATTTTTTTTTTAGTTTTCCGCCAATACAATCGCGGGTTTTTTTTTTACGCCAAAAAAATTGTAGAAGTTCACCCATTTTTTATTTTCGTTTGCCACAACTTGCGTCTTTTCAGTTTTGGGGAAAACTGAACCTAGGTTTTCTCGTTCAGTTCAGTGAAGAAGAACGCAGTTCTTGAATCATCTCAGGTGAGTTTTCTTTATGATTTAGTTTCTTTTCACAAAGTTCGGTGAATTTTTGCGTATGATTATCTTATGATTTAGTCTCCTAGGTTATTTTGAAAATTTTCAATTGCTTTGTTAAATTTCAATTGCTTTTGATTTAGTCTCTTTAGTGAGATTAGTACACAATGGTGAATTTTGCCTTGATAGAAAAGACAACTACTGGACAATTCGAAGATAAACGTTGCAGTTTTTATACATTTCTTGTGGAACTCAAGAATGTCACTTCTTGTGATCTAATAGCTGACAATGGGCAAAAGTCATTAGTAAAATTAAACCTTAATACAAAATTTCAATCATCTTCATTGATAACAAGGTTCTCTAACCAGTGTCATTTCACGTTTAGTGTATTTTCTGCATAAACTAATATGTGCATTAACATTTTATGTAAGTGTTGACATTTGAATGGGTGTTGCATCCAATCTCAAGCAACAACAACAACAACAAAGCTTGTGTAATCCCATTGTGGAGTCCGAGGAGAGTAGAATGTAGGCAAACATTCCCCTACCTCTATGGGAAGGATAGAGAGGTTGTTTCCGATAGACTCTAGCTCAAAAATCTAATCTCAAGCAATGCACCAGAATTTTGTCATCCACCACACACAGAACTCCCAAAACTATGGATCTAAAGGCATTGCCCTGAATGACAGGTTAAGGCATCAAGCTAAGACTAGAAAGAAATAAGATACTGCTAACACATAAATTTAAACTAAGCATAAGTAGTAGTAGTTTTGGCCAGATGCCAAGAAGAAGATTCATACATTAGCCAATAAACATAAAATGGTGAGCGACCATTTAGCTGGCAAAGCATGACATTTATTTGTGGCCCTTCTTCTTCCAGAGGTCACCAAACATCTTAATACCGGAACCTTTTCTTTTCCCGTGTCCAAAAACAGCATCGGAATCATCAACCAACCCTGGTGAACCCATGTGACCGCCATATCCGCCAACACCTGGTTCAAATACATTACCATAGTGCTTATCCATTGATCCACACCTCTCTGGTAGCCTTCTCCCTTTCATCTCCATGCCTCCTCCTGCTAATATTGTTGTTGCAGCATCTGCAGCTTTCCTCCATTGTTCTGTTTGGACTCTTAGTTTTTTCATTTCATTTTCTAATGCCTCTTTTGCCTTTTCAGTGGCTTCAAGTTTCTCCTTTATGTTAAATCCATCATTCTTGCTTGTTTCAAGCTCTTGTGCCACTTGGTTTAGCTTGAGGCTCGTTTCATCTTCCTTTGCCTTAAGGGATGATATCTCTTTTCAAGTTATCTTCAGTAGAGGGGTGGCTAATTTCAATATTTGGAGGAGTTAACTTCTTAACTGGAACTTCAAACACATTCGTTTCTTTCATTTTATCGTCCTCTTGAATTTCATGAGTCGGATTGATTCTGTTGTTATTGTTGGTTTCTTGGATTTGGTCAGAATCAGCTACAATTGGCTTTATTATATTATTATCATGTGTTATTAATGAAATAGATGAGAGATTGCAATTCAGATTTTCTTCTAATAGTTTTCCTTGGTAATTTCTTTATAAAATAGGGAAGATGAGGTGAGGTGGTGAAGTTGGTAAAGAAAGAGCTTCAGATACTTTGTTAAATTCCAATTGCCTTTAAATGTAGTTTTTCTTCTAGCATTTGATCATTTGTTTAATGTATTCTTCACTGATTTTGTACCTATGGAATATTTTTCTCTCGTATTTATCTCCTAATCTTATTAAATGAAATTCTTCAGCTTCTTTATTACTTATTCTTCAACTATGGCTAGAGAACAGGCTGTTGGAAATCTTATATTTTTCCAACACAAACTGTCTTGAAAAAAATAATTTATTAGTTGATCAACTGTAAATGAACTCAGGAATCATGATAGCATGAAAAAAAATCTATAGTACTACTTCTAATAAGTCAAATATCAACAGAGGATGTTCAACTATATCTCCAAATTCCGGTTCAATAGCTACCTGTTTCTTCAACTGATAATTTTCTAACTGATAACCATTAATAAGAGTTTGTGTTGTTCATTTAACTTGAAATTGAAAGTTGAAGCTAGCTGTTGATGGATAGACAATGCCTAAATCATTGGTTTTGTTTCTTATTATCGTAGCTCTCTGTCGTTTTCTTTTGTTGAAATGGTAAATGGCCCATAATAGTGTTTCTGGTTTTCTAGCTCTCTGTATCTTTTTGTTGTTGAGTATTTGCACAGATGTTTCATTTCCTTTTGCCTGGAGTCCTGTTTGAGAATAGGTTTGCCTGGAGCCCTGTCTGAGACCTCTCTTAACTTTGATAGTTTTTGATTAGGCACCATCAATATGAAATGTATTGCTGACAGTTCTTATAGCCAGTTAACCATCATACTATGAAATCCAATCTCCTTTAACATTTGCTCTATGAAATGCTATTCAATTGAATTCAATCTCCTATAACCTCTTAACTGTTTAACCTCTCCCAACATTCTGTTCCAAAACAAATTTAAAGTACCTTTGTGATATTCATCAGTATGGTCCATTTCATCTATAAGATAGGTCATTTAAAGAATATCTCAATAGGGCATTATCTCATCGAAGAAAATTTAGCTACTTTACCTCCTTATGCATTGTAATCTGCAGCAACTGATATTTAATGTAGTTTTTCTTCTAGCATTTGATCATTTGTTTAATGTATTCTTCACTGATTTTGTACCTATGGAATATTTTTCTATATTGTTTATCTCCGAATCTTATTAAATGAAATTCTTCAGCTTCTTTATTACTTATTCTTCAACTATGGCTAGAGAACAGGCTGTTGGAAATCTTACATTTTTCAAACACAAACTGTCTTGAAAAATAATAATTTATTAGTTGATCAACTGGAAATGAACTCAGGAATCATGATAGCATGAAAAAAATCTGCAGTACTATCTAATAAGTCAGATATCAACAGAGGATGTTCAACTATATCTCCAAATTCCGGTTCAATAGCTACCTGTTTCTTCAACTGATAATTTTCTAACTGATAACCATTAATAAGAGTTTGTGTTGTTCATTTAACTTGAAATTGAAAGTTGAAGCTAGCTGTTGATGGATAGACAATGCCTAAATCATTGGTTTTGTTTCTTATTATCGTAGCTCTCTGTCGTTTTCTTTTGTTGAAATGGTAAATGGCCCATAATAGTGTTTCTGGTTTTCTAGCTCTCTGTATCTTTTTGTTGTTGAGTATTTGCACAGATGTTTCATTTCCTTTTGCCTGGAGTCCTGTTTGAGAATAGGTTTGCCTGGAGCCCTGTCTGAGACCTCTCTTAACTTTGATAGTTTTTGATTAGGCACCATCAATATGAAATGTATTGCTGACAGTTCTTATAGCCAGTTAACCATCATACTATGAAATCCAATCTCCTTTAACATTTGCTCTATGAAATGCTATTCAATTGAATTCAATCTCCTATAACCTCTTAACTGTTTAACCTCTCCCAACATTCTGTTCCAAAACAAATTTAAAGTACCTTTGTGATATTCATCAGTATGGTCCATTTCATCTATAAGATAGGTCATTTAAAGAATATAATTATTTATACTATTTTGATTGCAGGACACCTTTCAGCTTCCGGACATACAACACAATCGGGATATCATTCTTCAAACAGCAAAAAAATTTATATTGATATCGTCGGAGTAGACATCATGATCATTTCAAGAAATTTCCTACAAAAGAGGAGAGACTGCAAAACATACCAACAGATGTTAATGAAGCTGAATGGAAATTCTTGGTAGACTACTTCAGCTCTGATGATTTTAAGGTAGTTAAAAGTGAAAAATTTAACCTTTTTATTGTTTGTTTTATTTTTTGACTTCTTATATACTTAGATTAAAATAGATTTCTAAAATCAAAATCAATGCAGAAAATGAGTGAAAGAAACAAAAATAACAAGGCAAAACAAGAAGTGAATCATATTTGCGGCAGAAAAACTTTTCAAGCAGTGTCTTATGAAGCGGTGAGATATATGTCTTTCTTTTTATCGATTATAGTTACAATTTAAACAATAACATAATTTCATTTGTTTTGACAGAGGGACACAACCACCGGAAAAGAGCCGAATTTTCAAAAAAATTGGGAAATAACTCACATGAAGCCAAATGGGCAATGGGTTACTAATGCTTCTGCTGAAGTGAATGTACTTTTTTTTACCTTTATTCACAGAATGAGTTTATTTAAATAAATATGAAGAGTTAAAGCTAGTATAACCTTTTTGTAGGATAAAGTGAAAGATGTTG